AGCTTTCGTGCATTCAAAGTATATCTGCTGATATTTGTTGTATTCGAAGTTTAAACCAATAAACTTTTAAAGTATTTTATTAATTTATTTAAAAATAGTGAGAATAAGCCCATTATATAGTAATGTAATTGAGATTTTTATTGAGACTATTTCAGAAAAACAAGTTTACTGAGAATAAAAACAAAAATGCAACGACAAAAAAAGAAAAAAAAATGCAGTGAGAATAGGGCGTTATTTGACATTTTTAGAGTCATCTGAATTCTCAGATCTGCTTCTACATTCAGCCTCTTGAGATACGCCCTATAGCCTCCCAAAAGGTTCACTGAGAGTGAAAAAGGCAGATAACACCTAAATATTGCTACGAAAATCTTTTCGACCTTGCGGGCGTCCTGAAAGATTCTTGAGGACCCCAGGCGCCCCCACCTCCCTCACTATGAAAACTGCTATTCTAGAGTCTGATGCTTATTTGCATTTTCTGCTAGGGTCAGCTTTTGGAGTGAGACCCTCTGATGTCTCTTTTCCTCATTTAGTTAATTCCTCGTGTGACTGTTCCCTAGAATGCTTAGTCGTAGCCTTCTGATCTCCAGGTATTTCTCTCAGCGATCAGAGGAAACGAGCTAAACTTCTAGTTAAAATTATGTATTGATGACGTGGCAGGACGAGGGAGCCTTCAACCTAAGAACGTAGGTGCAGAATTAGGACAGGAGTCCAGTCTCGAGCATGGAGTCGTAGCAGAGTGACGTGCTTAAGTGTGAGGGCTTTCAAGTCAGACTGCCTGGGGTTGAATCCTAACCTTGATTTTGGGCAAGTTACTTAACTTCTCTGGACTTTGTTTACCTCATCAGTAAAGTAGGGTTATAGTATGTGCCTCAAAGGGAGTGTCGTGGCAATTAAATGAGATGATATATAAATGATTACAGTAGTACCTGGCATATGATAAAGCATCGGTAAATTTTTGCCGCTGTAATCATTATAATGATGATTATGATAGGGGCCAGGCGGGGACATAAGTGAGGACAATGGGAACTGGAGGCCAAAGCCCTCTCTAGAGCTGGCAGGTGTCCCTCAGCTCTATCCTATCAGGGAATATCAAGTCCAATAATTTTCAAGAGAAGCCAGAAATCCACATATTTAGTTGAAATCTTCCCATTTAAAAAAAAAAAAAAGTGTTGGCGATTAATCCAGTTTTAAAAAGCACCGCGTAAACTGAACAAAACAGGCCTCTAGTTTGCCATAATATTTGCAGTGGGAAAGCAAATAATTCGCATAGCTAGGGTAAAAGCCGCATGTGTCCTGTTTCCCAGCTCCCAACGCCCTGATGTTATTCAGACGGATCACTCTCTCCCTGGTGACACTGGTGTAGAGAGGGACAGGGAAAGGTGGCGCTTGGGGGAAAAAAGGCTGACAGAACACCAGGTTGGGGCTTTTTAAAGAGGAGAAGAGGCGGTCCAACGGAACCCATCACTGGTCGAGGAGAGGGATGCTTGAGCCTTCTTCAGTCAGAGTCCTGTGCCAGGCAAGATGCCGCAAGACGTGTAGACACGTAAGGCAGAGTCACAGCCATCCCGGAGCTTGTGATGTAGTCTAGGGAAAACCGAAGAACTTGAAAGATCATTAGGTTCCGAGACGGTCTGAGGTCAGCGCTAGGCGGGTTGTCAGACAGGCGCTTATCAGAGTTCCGAGGAGGGAGAAGTCATCTCAGACTTCGCTGCGTCGAGGGGCGTAGCGGAGAGGCGTCTGGCTTGCTCTGGAAGGATTGCATTTGGTAAGGCTGAGCAAAAAGAGGTTGGTCGGTCAAGGTTTCCCTGCGCAGATCGGGGTCCTAAACTCGGATGTCTCTGAGGGCCTGGCAGGGCACGTAAGCGAGTGAAGTGCGTCGGTGGGAGGGAATAGGGAGTGGTGGGGACTGCGGCAAACAGGAGGGCTCACGCTCTCCCCAAAGGCAGCTGCGGCTTCGCAGCTCCAGCCACTTGTCGCTTTGGAAGAATGTGGACTCGGTGTTGACAGATCCTCAGATTTTTAAATAGATGTTGCAAAGCCTTAGTTTAATGAGAACTCTCTAGAGCTGCCACTAGTCATTCGTTGCTATGCGATTTTAAATTTAATTAAAATTAAATAAAGAATTCAGTTCCCCAGTCGCACCTAGTGCACTTCTGGGTGCTCATTAGCTACTGTCGCTAGAGGCTATCCATGGACAGTACAGATGTAGAACATCTCTGTCTGCACAGAAAGTTCTGGGCAATGATGCGCTGGCCACAAGAGCTCTGACAGATTTTTTTTCAACGCGATAACTAACTGAAAAATGTTTAAATTTACCGTAGGCCACATAAAACAGCTTTGTAGAGCAGGTAGATATATTCAGATTTTCTCTCCTCTTCCCTCCAAACAATCCTTTACCTGACTGTGGGCTTGGTGCTGCCGTCTAGAGCCCAGTGGCAGCTGCTTTTTCCAAGAGGCTGTCGCATTTCACGGGAGAAGCCCGTTCTCCTGCTCTCACCAGCCCTGGACAGATGGGCTTTTCTTAAAAGAAAAGAATTAAAATTGTGTTGGATCCCCAGTGTTGACTTCTATTGTTTTTTAGACTATTAAGCGAGGCATAAATAAATGATGATAAAACAAGGCATACGGTCCTAAAGCTTGCAGTTCCTGTGCCACCGGAGAGCTAAACTCCGGTTGGTAAATTAAATACAAACAAAGCAACCAAACCAGTGTAATTCAGATGACAAACGTGACACTTAAGTGCTTCTTTGAAGCCAGACCTTTGCAGACTGCCCCGCTGGGCCCTTGGTGTGCAACAGGTCTCAGCTCTCCCATCGTCTCTGTTTGAACTGCAGCAAAACCTCCGTTTGTACCATGATGTCCGTTGCCTTTCATTTGAGCCCAAAGGCATTATTATGAGCTAAATCCATCTCTATCCTCTTCTCACAAGCCGGTGGCGATTACAGTTGTCCTTTTTGGCACAGGTGCAGTTGTAAACTTGCCCTGAGCATTGAAACCAAATGGTAGGGCTGGGGGATATAAGGCGGTAATCCAATAATCCAGATACACTGAGTTTCTTCTTTTCGATTGTTTCCAAAATGAAAACCCCAAACCGTAACATTCTTGGAAAGAGTACTTGGACCCTTGGGAATGTTTACCAGGTTCCCGGGGACCACAAGCCCTGCCCCACGGGGACAAAAAGGGAGCTCTGTACACAGAAGGTGCTAAAACTTGTTAAATCGAGTTGCTCTGTTCACAGAACGAAAGCAAATTCAATATTGGCTGAAGGGGGAGTTCGCTCTACTATCTGGAAAAGGATGTAAATGTGGGAAGGGCCTGCAGACTCCTGGCTGGCCCGCCTGAGCCGTCACCAGACCAGTGCATTCTCCAGACTGTGGGAGGAACAGGTGGGTGGGCACTGGGGAATCCAGAGACTGTCTCACCTCCCAGCACCTTTTCCTGTCTTCCGGTTTCATTGGCGCAGTGCTGCAGTCTGCGGTGCGGTTGATAGGCCGTCGGTATTGTGCAGTAGGTAAGAACACCAGCTCTAGGCTCCGAATATCTGGGTTTAAGATCAGGCCCAACTACTCGTCAGGTATGCGGCTTCGAACAAATGGCCTCTGAATCCCTCTCCTCCTCTACGAGACGGAAGTGGCAGTGGAAATGACCTCTGGGTGGCCACCATGCTCCGGTCAATTAGTGCAAATGGCATTCTCGGTGTGATACGTGACAAGGAGAAGATGCTCAGCGTTTTATTTTACAGAATACCGCTTCTTACTTATTTTAAATAATGCTTTACGTGTTGTTAGCTCGTTTTGGTCACTGGGAGATGAAGAAATGGGTTCTTTGCCCCCGGAGTACCAAAAGCAGTTTAGAGCAGCACCGTGGAAGAAACTTTAGAATTGACGGAGAAATTCTTTTTGCCTCAAAATATCAGCTTGTACAGCCCACACTCCCTTCTTTGCAATGTAGAAACCTCCAAATCTCGGAGAATGTCAAGGCACCTCAAACTTTGCGTGGCGGCCAGACCTGAACTCACGCGTCGCTCCTTTTAGTCTTTATTTTCTCCTCTGACCCTGCGTAGTCACAGATGTCGATGCAGAAATAATCGGGGTGACTTAAAATATGGCGTATGCGGGGATTTACGCTTCTAAACCTACCAGATTCTGAACTCTGAAACTCGCTCGGGTCCGAGCTGCGGTACAGGATCGCGGACCTGTATTCAGCCTCTCGTTTGAGCTCCCCCAGTGGGCTCCGCACGCAGACACGCAGGCACAGGGCGAGACGAGGGTGCAGCTGTCCCTTACCTCTCGACACGAAACGCTGAAAAACAGCGAGAACTGCCCGCCCAGGAGTCTAGGCCCAAACGCCGGTTGTTCTGGGAGCCACTAGATGCGCTGTCAGGGAGTCATCGGCATTGAGTACATGTCCAGCTGTGGACAGAATTATTCATAATAGCCAAAAAATGGAAACAACCAAATGCCCGTCAACAGATGCATGGATGAGGAAGATGGGGTGCAGCCAGACAGCCCAACGCTGTTCGACCACGAGAAGGGGCGAGGTGATGGCACGCGCCCTGCCGTGGCTGCGCCTCGAAAATGCTGCGCTTAGTGAGAGAAGCCTTTTTTGTTGAAAAACTGGACAGTTCGGATATTATATTGTATTTATACCTGGAGAAAGAGATTAGTTCAGTCCACCGTGTCACTTACTCCTTACAGCTACCTTATGATAGAATTACTCTTATGCCCAATTTACAGATGAAACTGGGCTCATGGAACCTAAGTGACTTGCCCGGGGTCGCATGGCTGTTAAGAGGCAGAGAACAGACGCATATACAGGTCTGATTGAATTGCAAGTCCCTGATCTGTCCGCCACGCCGTGTCACCATCTTATGATGTTGATTTCTCTTTGTCCGTTTTCAGGAATTAGACGCTACCAAGGGCCGTCCCAGCACCCAGCTCCGTAGGCAGCTTCGCTCGTCTGGGGAGTGGCTCTTGGCCAGGACCGGGCAGCAGAGAGCCATGGACCAGTACGGCCTTGGGGACGAGGGTGCCCTTCCGTCAGAGATGCATCTCCCTTCGTTTTCCGAGAGCCAGGGACTCAACTGCAGTGACACCCTCAACCGGGATCTGGGTCCCAGCACGCGAGACCTGCTCTATGCCGGCCTGAGTGGCTTGGACCTGGACTCCAGTCTCCCAACGCCCGAGGTGCCCAGTGAGGTGCTGGAGGACAACTTGGACGCCCTGTCCCTGTACTCGGGGAAGGACGGCGACTCCGCGAAGCTGCTGGAGGAATATGCCGACCCGGAGTCTCAGACATCCTTGCAAGGTGAGGCGGTCCCCCGGGGCCCGAGGGCCGGGCGGCAGCTAGGGGTCGCTTCTGTGTGGATCGGTTAGGAAAACGTCTCTTCTACAGGTAAATAGGGGACAGTTACTTTTTTCCTCCTTGGGAATCGTTCTCAAGTTCCTAGTCAAGGAGACAGAACCCTGATGTCGGGGAGTAATGTCGACAAACTGGGGTGTTGGGGATTCGTCCTGTCCTCCCGCATGGCGCGAGCAGACCTTCGGGTTCCTGGGGGACTGTTCCATCCATCACCGCATCGCCGAGGCTCTTCACATTTCCAGAATGTGTCCTCATCCGTAAAGTCGGGCGATGATAATCCCCCCCTGTCTCCCCAACCCCCAGCCCAGAGTAAGAGCAGTAAGAGGCTAAAGAAGAGATGAACGTGAAAGCACTTTGTAGACGGCCAAGCACTGGAGCGCGATAACAGTTGTTTCCACCCATACTGTTAGAACCAGTTTCAGCTGGTCCATCGATTCAGTTCTAAATCTTTCTCTTCAGCAGGGGAGGAGCGAAGCGGGGACTGTGGGAATCGCTAGAGACCCTGGTTAGACCCCCTTTCGCCTTCAGGCTTCCCCCACAAGATACGTCCAGTTTCTGTTTTCGACCCTCTTGCTAGGTCCCTGGGCAGGTCACCTGGCGGGGTCGGCCGGGCTGAAGGTCTTTGGTACTTGTGGCCGCAGCTCGTGTGCAGAGGGCTGCTCTGAAGCTGCCCTGCAAAACAGATATGATGCTGGTTGGAGTAAGTAACTCAAGGGCTGTCCTTGGCCACCATGAAACCTGAGGCCCCCTCCACACGGGGTGTGGCAGACAGGGCTTTCACCTGGTCGCCGTGCGGGAACAGTGGCTAAACATGAAATCCTAGATTCCTCGGGCATCTGCAGTGTTGTAGGCACTGGGCCAGGCCTGTGGGTATAGTGATTCTGGGTCTCATCCAGGCCACGGAAATTACCTGGAAAATGCTGGTCGTGCAGATAGGGGTACGTTTTACTGGGCAGAAAAATTGTAGCTTTCACCAGATTTTCACAGGAGTCTGTACACCCCACCGCTCAAATGTTACAAATCATCAATTCGACTTTTCCTAATTTGTTTTAAACTTGAAGTTTTTAATCTTATTTTTTAAAAAAGGAATCCACTAAACATTAACCTTTAACCCTTTACACTCCTCTAACTTAAATTCGGGTCCATGGAAATGCATATGCTTATATTATTTTTTTTTAATTAGAAAAGTAATATATATGTTTATTAAACGAAACTATGAAAAGTTATAACAAGAAAAATCCCTAGCCCGGCTCCCACACAATGATTTTTAAAAACATGGGCGAAGTCACTCAGAAAACGTGGCTTAGCAGAGTCGTATTAAGTGTATAATTCTACTCGAAGTTTTTAAAACTTAGAGATTTCACTTGCTTACATGAAGGTAGAGTCTCCAGTGGTGATTGTAACAGTTATTCGGTTACGTGGTTTGACCATATTCCTGCTCGTTAGATTGTTATAGTGTTTCTGCGAACAACTTTTTCCGCATGGGGTTTTCTATTGGGTTAATTCTTTGAACACATTCCTCCAAGTAGGTTTGCCTGTCAGAGAACATGCAGCTCTAGAGTCCTACAAGACTGCCTTCCGGGAGGATCAAGTGGCTTTCAGGCCAGGGACTCTGCCTCTGTTTCAGTGTTCCTGCCAATTTTTCAAATAACATTTTATTTTCTAGTTTAACAGTTGCTTTAATGAACATTTTAAAAATAACTTAGTGAGGCCAGGAGTTTCCGTGAAGGAGTCCTGTTTGTTCTCATTTAAACTGTTGGAATCATTGACCACTGTCACAGTAATTTCTCACGTGGAGAAGATGCAGATCGGGCGAGTGACAGATGGCCCACGGCCAAAGGCAGAGCTGGAACAAGAGTCTGATTCCTTCCTGCTGCGTCTCTCACGCTGCATCTCAGCCACAGAGACTTGGCATCTGGGTCCTTTCGTGCGGTTCCTCTCCCCCGCCACCCCATTCCCTGGCCTGTTGGGTTTGTGGATCCCACCTCTGCAGCATCCTGGACCAATGGCGATTTCTAAACTTGCCATCTCATAATGCAGCCTGATCCATTGTGAGAACCAGTCTAAGGGGTAGAAAAGTCTCCTATGAGTCATCCGTTCAACTGTTACTGAGCACCTTGCCTACGAGTGCCAGGGTGGGGAGTCCAGGAGTTGGGAGCATGGCGGCGAGCCCGCAGAGTCCCCGCCGTCCATGACCCTCACGCCTTCTAGTGATTTGAAATCAGCCTCCTTTACTCTTTTGTCACCGAATCCATCTCTGTCCCTCAGAGCAAGACAGAAGCAGTCTGCTCCCTCCCCTGTGCGCTGGCCCTGCAGATGTTTGAAGGCGTGTGTCCCCCGCGCCCCCCCCCTCCACCGCCTACACACACCTGAACCTTCCCAGTCCCTTCACCTCTTCCTCCGTTGACGAGTTCACAATATAGCTTTCATCATTTGACCCGCGGGAAACGGGAAACGTGGAAAATACACGCACACAAGAAGACGAAGATAAAAACAACCCGTAACCCTACCAGCCCATTCTGTCTGTTTTCCAAATGAAGTTCTTTTTCATTCTCTAAGACTAGCACAGTTCTGTTTTGCAACAGGCTGCTTTTTTCTCAGTGTGGTGTGAGCATCTTTTCATGTCAGCAAATACTTTTCAAGTTTTATCACAAACGCTCATGTCATAGACCATCTAAACCGTAACGTGGTAAGTCACCTGTGCACCCTCCTGTGTGACGTCGGGAGGTTTCTGACCATTCAGCAGGGACAGCGGGGCTGCGTCCACTCCCTCCCCGCCGACTCTGGGCGAATCTGCGTTCCTGTCCTTACTTTTAAAGCCCAGCGGTAGAACTGGCTGGGAGAAAGGCTGTCCGCTTTTCTAAGGTTTTAAAGTACATATATATATTCTGGATTGCCATTCCAAGAGTGCCGTTGACGTCAGAGTCACAAAGCCCCGCCTGTCCCGGCCCCTCTGCCCCCCGGGAGAGCTTCAGACGGCTGCCGTGGGAACGCGGCACCAAGGCTGGGCTCCTCCTGCCTGCGCGGCCTGGCCGGGGGCCCTTCTCTCCCCGGCCCGCCCCGGCCCTGCTTTCTCTGCTGGCGAAGCTGCCGACGCTGCAGAGAGCACGCGCCTGCTCTCCGCAAGTCTGCGGTGGTTCTGAGTTGCAGGTGCTTTCACTTCCCCAGGTGTCCATAACCTGCGCTTTCTCCTCTGTTTAGACCTGGGGCTGGGCGCGCTTAAGGTGCCCAAAGAGGCTGACGACGGAGGCCGGGCCGCCTCTGGGAGCGCGAGGAAGGGGAAGCGGCAGCACGCCTCCCCGCAGAACCCGCTCCTGGACTGCAGCCTCTGCGGGAAGGTGTTCAGCAGCGCCAGCTCGCTCAGCAAGCACTACCTGACGCACAGCCAGGAGCGGAAGCACGTCTGCAAAGTCTGCAGCAAGGCCTTCAAGCGGCAGGACCACCTGTACGTAGGAGTCCGCGCTGGGAGTCTGGGGGGGGCTGGGAGGGAAAGGGCGCCTTCCTGTTCCCCACCCCAAGCAACCCCGCCCCACCGCTGACGGGTTCCCCGCCTGCACGCGCCCCAGATGACTGTCCCCTGCGCTTAGCCCAGGACTCCGCTCTCTCACACCGCCAGGGCCCCGGCCAGGGCCAAGGCTGCCCTGCATGGGTCACTTTTCCGAGCCCCCAGATTCACACCAGTGAGGAAACGGCCGCCGCCATCTGCAGCCCGGACCCCTGTGGTTTAAAGACACCTACTGGCTCCCTGCCGAGGCTTTTCCCCCGGGGGTCTGGGCCGACCGGTGGAGGAGTATTCAGAGTCCCCGGTGTGTGCTGTGCCCGAGGAGCACGAATCTGTGTCCCACGAGGAATATGTATGGGGATAACAAGGGGCGCGGGAGTTTGGAAATTTCAGTTTCTATGGCAATGGAGCATTAACTCCCGTTTTCCTTTTTTAACTCCTTTTTTATTTATTTTTTATTTTCATTTATTTATTTTTAACGCCTACGGCACCTGGTCTTCCTTGGTGGTCTCCCATCCAAGTACAGGCCCGACCCTGCTTAGCTTCCAAGATCAGACGGGATCGGGCACGTTCAGGGTGGCGTGGCCGTAGACTAACTCCTTTTTTAAAACAATTTTTTTTTAACTCTTGATTTAAAAATGAACTTCCATTATGAGAGGAGGATTCGTTTTGTTCTTAATGTCCTGGAAATGATAAGCTTTTCTAGCTGGTAAGAAAGGACCCACAGACTTTTCTCAAACCAAGAGACTCACAAGTGGGAGCTGACAGGCTCTCGCGTTTTATGTGCTCCTAACTGCTGTTGACGCCTTGACTGATCCATCCCTGACTTCATCCCCTCACCACCGCAACCCAGAGAATGAAGGAGTTCGCCCGTGTCACTTATAACAGTTCAGACTAGAAACGGGGTCTCTCGACTAGAAACGAGGTCGCCCGATTCCTTCTCTGCTGCTTCCCTCAGGCGAGGCCGAGGGTTGGCCTCTGGGGAAGGACTCTGTTACTTATCGGCCAAACCCACCTGCCCTATTGGACACTGTCCAGAGTAGGACCGCTGGGCCCTCGAGTGTGATTGCTCGTGTAGTTGTATTTCTAATATATCGATGTGGATATAAGTATGATATAGGCCGTACATGTTTGTATCCATTTATCTTGGCAGAAATTATAGGCACATCGGCTGTTTTCCAGAAAGTTTTTGCTGATTGGACAGCTGTAAATGCTTCCCTTTATTTTTGCGGCAGGCGTTCCTGGTAGCTGTCCCCTTAGCAGAGTCCTGTGGTGAGGCACAGATGCCTTTGTTAAAAGGAGGGTCGCCCGCCATCAGTGTCTGCTTCTCAGGGATGCTGCAGGAGGCTGTTCTGTAAGCCAGTAGGTCTGAGAGACACGAAAGTTACACAGATGCCTTGGGGACCAGCTCTGGAGGACTGGGGCTGCTTGGGAACCCGCTTTGGGGACCCCCAGCTTGGCTTCCACTGATTTTTTCTTCTGAGATAAGAGGTTGCTTAAAGGCGAGGGAGGGGGCACCCCTTCCAGATTGCTTCTTCCGTAGCGGGAGCCGAGCGCAGTCTCTGGATTGTGGGGCACGCTGGGGGCCCCTCAGCGAGAGGCCAAGCTGAGCGCCGCTGATGCCCCTCCTCCCCCCCTGTGTGGCTCCAGGACCGGGCACATGCTCACGCACCAGAAGACCAAGCCCTTCGTGTGCATCGAGCAGGGCTGCAGCAAGAGCTACTGTGACTACCGCTCCCTGCGCCGGCACTACGAGGTGCAGCACGGCCTGTGCATCCTGAGGGAGGCCCCGGCGGAGGACGACGCCTGTGGGGAGCCCCCCCATGCCCACGAGGCGCCCAGCGGCCCACGGGCCCTGGTGCCCCCAGAAGCCAGGTCCCCCAGCTCCCTCCTGCCCAACCGAGACCTCCTGCGCTGCATCGTGAGCAGCATCGTCCACCAGAAGATCCCATCCCCTGGCCCAGCCCCAGCGGGGCCTTCTGACGGCGAGGGGAGGAGCACGGCCTGTCCCTGCCCGCCCTCCTCGGGGTCCTCCTCCTGCACCCCCGCGAGCACCCCCGGGGCCCCGGGAGCCCTGGGAGTTGAGGTCTCTGAGGACCCACGTCCCCCACGGAAGGAGCCTGTCACTGATGCGTTCGTGACTGTCCACTCTAGGGCAGCAGAGAACAGTGCCCCCGAGCCAGCAGAGTCAGAGCCGCCGCTGCTGCAGCTCCCGTCCACCCTGGAGGGCTGGCCGGAGGGCGGCTCCCTGCCCGCCTGTCTGCCTCTGTTCCGGGGCCAGACAGTCCCCGCCAGTTCCCAGCCACCCAGCCACAACTTCCAGTGGCTCCGGAACCTGCCAGGCTGCCCCAAGAGCAAAGGGAACAACGTGTTCGTGGTCCACAAGCCGCCCGCGGCACCGTGCCGGGAGGGCCCGGAGTCTGGCCCCAGGCCCAGCAGCGCCTCCCCCACGGGGGAGCCGTCGCCCGGCTCAGGCCCCAGCCCGGAGGATGCCCTGCCCTTCCCTCCGCCACTCCCGAAGGTGCCCGGGGAGGCCTTGGGCGACCCCAGACATGCCGGTGGGGAGGATGACCCCTGGGCTTCCAAGAAGAACAGGTTTGACTGCGAGGCCTTCCCATGGCAGAACCCCAGGGAGCCCGGCCTCCAGGATGGCCAGAAGCCGGTTGGGCTCCCCTCAGATGCCACGCCACTCCTCCGGCAGCTGTTCCTGAAGCCACAGGAGCCTCTGATGAGCCCCGAGCAAATGCAGGTGTTCCAGATGTTCGCCAAGCCCCAGCGGGCCTTCTCCCACGCCCAGGTGGCAGCCGCGGCCTCCCAGCTCCCCGCGCCCGAGGGCAAGCAGGCTGCCCTGAAGCCACTGCAGGGGCCCTGGCCTCCGCAGCCCTCACCGCTGGCTTCCAGCGTAGACTCGCTGCACGCTGGCCCTGGAACCCTGGAGCCAGAGGGATCCCCAGCCCGCAGGAGGAAAGCCGTGCCCACATTCCCCAGAGAGGCCTCTCCTGGCAGCTCTAGACGAGACTCGAAAGGAGGACCGAAGGTGGCCCCCGCCCCGCCGTCCCTCCCAGGGTCGTCCCTGGACCCTCCTAGGAATCCAGACATCACCTCTCTGGCCAAGCAGCTGAGATCTGCGAAAGGGACCTTGGACCTGGGGGACATCTTCTCCCCTGGGGGCCCACGGCAGACCCAGTTAGGTGGGGACGAGCCATCTGGAGTCCAGGCCCCCGGGAAGCAGGCCCAGGCCGAGAATGGCACGGCTTCGGGGGCCGCGAAAGGGGAGAAGGGCCCCGCCTGCTCCCGGGGCGGAGGCTACAGGCTCTTCTCCAGCCACCCCAGGGCCCAGCGCTTCTCCGGCTTCCGGAAGGAGAAGGTGAAAATGGACATGTGCTGCACCGCCTCTCCCAGCCAGGTAGCCATGGCCTCCTTCTCATCGGCCGGGCCTCCAGTGGACCCCCCGCGGGACTCGAAGTCCAAGCTGACGATATTCAACAGGATCCAGGTACCAGAGTCCCCTCTCACGGGACGTGACCGTACGGCGGACGGGCGCCTTGCTCGTTGCTTGTCTCTGCGTTTCTTGGTCGTCCAGGCATGTCACTGAGTCTCCGTGGGTCCTCAGATGTAGTTTCACAGAGGGGCAAGTGGAGGTTCAGAGAAACTGGTTTCTGCCATCACCCTGCCCCCGCCCCCGATAAAGAACGAGGACTTTTACGGACTTGTCGCGGATGCTTCCGATGCTTCGTGTGGTGCTGTTTCTTCACTAATCTGTTTCCGCTTGTTTTCTTTTCGCCTTTCACCTCCTGTTGGATTCGCCCCCTAAATTCTTCAGAGGCCGTAAAGGCAGAGCTCCCTCTCCCGTACGCGTGCCTGTGTGGACTCTGTGTCTTCTCTGGCTGTGAGTCACGGGTCCCCGAGTCCGGCCTCCCCGGGCCCTGCCGTGAGCCTGGTGCATCAGCTCAGCTCCTTCCCACACTGTACCCACGAGGTCCTGGGCACAGAGAGGCTGCCCCTTCCCTCCGTGACATGCTAAGGCCCGGCACCCTTCCGGCCACACTACACCTGCCGCAGCTTTCCCCCTAATGCTTTGATATTCACGTACTATCCAGTTTACCATTTTAAAGCCTACCTTCCGGTGGTTTTCCATGTAGTCACAGGGTCGTGCATCCATCCCCACTCTTTGCCAGAACATTTTCACCCCCAAAAGAAACCCCACATCCTTAGTTGTCACCCCCAATCTCCCCATCCCTCCTAGCCCCCTACGACCATGAATCTACCTTCTACCTCTATGGATTTGCCTGTTCTGGACATATCACATAATCGGAATCACGCACTCCATGGCCTTTTGTGATTGGCTTCTTATACTTACCATAATATTTTCAAAGTTCATGCATTTTGTAGCATGGATCAGAATTTCGTTCTTTTTCCTGGGTGAGTAATATTTCTTTGGGTACATCACGTTTGTTCATCTGGGCGGTTTCTACTTCCTGGCCACTGTAAGTACTGATGCTGTCAGGAGCATTTCCATGTGGGTTTTTGTGTGGACATGCATTTTCATTTCTCTTGGGAAATACCCAGGAGAGGACTGCCGGTCACACGGTGACTCTGTTGCGCCATTTAGGGAACCGCCAAGCTGCTCTCCAAGGCTGCAGCGTTTCTCAGCCCCTCCCGCGGCGCGTGAGGGTTCCGGCTCCCCACCCCCCCGCCCTTTCCGACCCCTGCCGTCCAGTTCGTGTCCCAGTCAGGGTGTGGTGTGGCGGTCTCTCCTTAGGGTTGACCCGCATTGCTCTGAAAGCTAGTGGCGTTGAGCGTCTTTTCGTGTTCTTATTGGCCACACGTATGTCCTCTTCGGTTCAGTGTCTATTCAGATCCTTTGCCCGTTTCCAGACTGGGTCGTTTGATTTTTCAGGTTGAGCTGTGAGAGTTCTTAGTGTGTGATGAGTGGAAGTCCCCTATCGGAGACAGTGACGTGCAACGTTGGGTCTCATCCTGCGGGCGTCTTTTCACTTTCTCGATGGTATTCTTTGAAGCGCAGAGGTTTCAAGTTCTGATGAAGTCCACTTTGTCTTTTGCGTTGGTGTCCTCCAGGAAACCATTATTTAATCCGAGGTCACAAAGAATTACACCTGTGTTTTCTTCTAAGCGTCTTATAGCTTTAGCTCTTGCAATACCTCATTTCTGACATGTCGGCTCAGGTGTATTTTTACCTTCAGGGTGGAAATATCTACAGGCTCCCCCATCCGATGAAGGAGGAGAACATGGCGGGTGGATGGTAAGTTCCAGAGCCCATCCCGTCCCGTCCCCCACGGTGAGGAGCACAGCCCCTCAGGGGTCCCTTGCTGGCCCTGGGGGCGTGAGCTCTGGGTGCTTCCGTCCAGAAGAGGCCTGCACTAGGCCCTGGAGAACTGGGGCGTCGTCTCCGTTTCTTAGAGTCCATCTAGAGTTGTCGGGATCAGGCTTTGAAAAGAAAAAGGCAAACGGAAGAAGTCAGCGATGGGGACAGAGTCCCTCCTGCCACGTCTCCCTCTCCCCGCAGTAACCAGCAGAACGGGGACCCCGGCGACTGGGCAGAGTCAAGGAGCACTTTCATCTGCAAGAACTGCAGCCAGATGTTCTACACCGAGAAGGGGCTGAGCAGCCACATGTGCTTTCACAGCGACCAGTGGCCGTCCCCGCGAACGAAGCAGGAGCAGCAGGTAGGGGCCCACGCAGTAGGCTCTGTGCTTTCAGGGTTTCCGACAGGCTTTGGGGTGCCATTTGCCTCAGGATCGAGATGTCTTCTGCCCTCTGGGGGGAGCTTGTGGGGGCTTCGGGGGGGGTCGGAATGACCAGCTAGAGCCCCCCTTCCACTCCTGCCCACCGTTTCTCCTGCTCTCTGCATTTAGGTGTTTGGCTCAGAGTTTTGCAAGCCACTGAGACAGGTGCCGAGGCCAGACGGGGATGGGCAGAGTCCCCCAGGAGCCAAGAAATCCTCGGACAGCGCGGCCGCGGCCCCTTTGGAAGTCTCCGTGTCAGTGCCTGTGGCTCCGGCACACCGGCCCCTGGGGAGCACAGCCAAGGTGGGTGCTGGCCAGTCCACGTCCTTCCCCATTTTCCCCATCTGCCAGTGGAAGCTGTGGGAAAAGCCACAAAGATCCTGACCCCAGGGGAGAGTGGTTTGCACATTCAGTTTATTCATTCATTCATTCCACATCCACTGAGTTTCCTTTGTGCCCCGTCCTGTGCTTGCAATGGTGACCACGACAGCCCCTGCCTGGCCTCCTGGGGTCCCCAGACCAGTGGAGTAGACAGACCCATCCCCAGACAGTGAGGACTCAGAGTGGGCAAGGCTGGGCTGGGGAGCAGAGGGAGCTGTGGAGCCCAGAGGGCTCAGCCCGAGGGCATCAGGGAGGACTTCCTGGAGGAGGGGGTGTTGGGGCTGAGGCCTAGAGGCCGAGGAGGAGTGAGACTGGCAGAGGGAGGGGAGGGTGTGTGAGGAGGTGAGAGTGTGTCGTCCATGTTTTCGCCCGTCCCGGAGGGGTCCGCCCAGGGACTCTCGCGCTGGGCTCTGGGGCGGAGCGTGGGCCCCGTTGCTCGTCTCACAGGAGCAGTTGTCGCTTGGAGGGACCAGGTTCTCACTTTGTCACACCGTTACCCTGCGCCTCGGGCCCCACTCTTCGGTTGGGCTCCCTCCCTTTGAGTGCCGGTCATTTTAACAACCGAAGCTGCCTCTCACGTTTCCCAGACCCTCTGGGTCGAGGCCTGTCCGTGGAGTGCGAGTGCGTGCGGAGGCGCCAGCCTTGAGTGTCACCAGGCTGAGGGGCAGGGGTCTGGCTCAGGACGGGTGGCCCTGCCCAGCCTCCTTTGCTGGTGCTGTGGGCGCGCAGGTCATACCTCCTCCCGTCGCCACAGTCAGTTTCCTTTCCCCGCTCTCATGCCCCCTTGAAGACCCAGCCATGCGGCGGGGGACCTCAGGTGGCCTCTTATGGCTCTGAGCTCTCTTCTTCTCCAGGGACAAGAGAAAGACACGGAAGAGAGAGACAGCAAGGAGAGCAGCCAACACAGGAAGCGGAAGAAGCGTCCCCAGCCCAAGGCGCTGTTCGCGCCCCCGGCCCCCTCCGCCTTCGGGGACCCGGGCCCGGGAGGAGGCCACCAGAGCTGCCTGAGGTCTCCGGTGTTCCTGGTGGACCGCCTGCTGAAGGGGTTATTCCAGTGCCCCCCCTACACGCCACCCCCGATGCTCAGCCCCATCCGGGAGGGGTCCGGGCTGTATTTCAGCACGCTCTGCTGCACGGTGGCTCAGGCGGGCCCCGACAGACTCGCCAGCGCCATGCTTGGTGAGTGAGGCCGCTGGCTGCCTCTGATCTGCACGGCGGGCCTCCTGGGGACCAGAATCCCCACCCCTCCAGCATTTGTTCCAGAGTCTCCTGCCCGGGGCTGACTGGTCTGTGGGGCCCATTGCTGTTCGTTGGTCCCCCGAGATTCCCGGTGACCAGCAGCCTTCTAGGTGCTCAGAGCTTCAGGCCAGGAGGAGACACAGAGACCATCGAGCCCCACCAACCCCCCATGCCCTGCCCTGCGCCCTCTCCAGCAGCCTCATCGGGGGGTAATTCATGTGCCAAGGGAATCACCGCCTGTAGTGCCCGGTGGCTTGTAGCAGACTCGCGGGGCGTGCGTCCATCACGGCCAGCTCTAGAGCATTTTCGTCACCCAGAAGCCCCCATCCCGCCCCCACAGCCCCATCTCCCAAGCCCCAGGAAACTACCGGTCATTTTCTCACTTGCTCTGCGGACTTGCCCGTTCTGGATGTTTCATACGATTGGGATCATAATACGCAACACTTGGTGTCTAGTTGATTCACTTGGCGTGACGTTTTTCAGGTCTGTCCGCGTCGTAGCACGGGTCAGTGCCTCTCTCCCCTTCACGGCTGATGACATCCCGTCGTCTGCGTAGACTGCATTTCACTTATCCATTCGTCAGTTGATAGGCATTCCAGTTGATAGGTCATTTCCAGTTTTTGGCTATTACAAGTAACACTGCTACAAACATTCACGTACAAGCGTGTGTGTGGCCGTGTGTTTTCATGTCTCCCGAGCAGCCACCAGGAGCAGGACTGCGGGTCACCTGGTAGCTCTGTGTTTGACACCGAAGGCACCGCCTAGCTGCTCAGCGGCTGGCCGCTCGCTTCCCGCCTGGCTTCCCCACACCCTCCTCCCCC